GAAGGAAGTAACCCTGAAAATCTTGATGTTTTTTGGTTGTGTGGACCAAATTTTTTTGCGCCCACATAGCGAAACAGTATTCAGCAGATTGAAGCACATGACTGGGTGGGGTAGAAACAAGAGTTTCGACTGTTCCTTAGTCAACAACAGCGGAAGTGAAACAGTTGAGAAAAAATAGCGCACAGCCCCACGATTTATAGAAGGAAAAGGAGGAAAGTACAACCGCAATTGGCTGGTTCATGGCGATCTTGCTCATTCGTTTTGCTCATAGAATAACAATAGCATACGTAGCTGGATACTTGGCAATTGGAACTCCATTTCAAAGCTCATCGATAAATTTCACAATGATAATGAATTCCTTTCAACTTCATCATCGATGTGGATAAACGAGATCTAGGAAAGAGTGTTGAACCTAAAACGAACCCTTCTTGGCGAAATAACTCCTGGCTATTGTCTGTCGTTTGACTTGCTCCTTATGTTCGTTTTCCGTCCACAGCTGTTGTTGTGCCTCACAGAAAGCTGTGAGAAACTTGGCCAGGCAACCAAACATCTCTTCAGGATTGAGCGTATCAAAACAGAACTGAGCTGCGCATGCCGAGAACTACAATAAATCGTGCAAGAGGTGTCGTTGTGATTCTTCATCAAAAAGCATACCTTGGCTTTCATCTCACCGTGCAGCTTCTCCAAAGTGTGGTACTGCTCGCAAGCAGAAACGACGAATTGTTTGGCGACCGCTTCAAATTGGTCCTGCAGCAAGAGAAAAATCAGAAGGAGAAAAGTTGCGATTCGTTCTGCCGCTTTCATTCCATCATGTTTTTTATCGAGATAGTTTCGTTTTGTGAACATAACAGGATTTGCGGCTTCAACAGAGTCAACGAAAAATTGACATCTAAGTACCACCAAAATCTCTCGCAAAGGATGGTGCAGAAGTGCCTTTCCCAAGCCTTTGGACGTAGAGCAATCTTACTTATTCCCTCTGATCATTTTGCAGATTTCTTGAAGTAAGTTTCAGTGTCACACTCAAGTTTAGGTAAACTCTTTTTGAAGAACAGCTTCTTGCCATCAACCCCTCCCTGAAAGAACAAAATTAATCGGACCTCTTTCCATTCCTCATTGGATGCGACCTGAGTGAGTTGTTCCTGATAGGCGGACTCCTTCATGAATGCCAGCTCCGAGCGAACAGCAGTTATCCCTTGCTCCAAACTGCGAATCTCGGCCAAAACTTCGTTGCGACTGGAGAGGCCAAACAGAATATTTTCCTCAAAAATGCGAAAAAAGAACCTACTTATATCTGGCAGCGTCATAGACAGCTGCGAGTTCTCTTCTTAACTTTCCGAGATCAGGGAAGCGATTCTCAATTACTTGCAAAATATAATGCAGCAGAGTTCGGTCGGAACGGTACGCGAATTTTACATCGTTCAGCCTGTTCAATGATGTCAGATCGAACCCTAAACTTCAGCAATTCTGTAAAAAGTTCTAGATGTTGTATGTTTTAGATGTAAAATGTTTGGGTAGAAACGAGGGTCAAGAACAGAAATCGCTCAAATCAAGATTTGGGTCTCCCGGGCGAATCTAGTACCAATCAAGAGAGCCTGGATGTAAGAAAAGTCTCTCTGTCTGTTTGTCCGCATATCTTTCTGTCTGTTTATATATTTGTTTGTTTCTTTGAACAGAAATTCGATATTAAATACTTAATGAAGCANNNGGTCGGAACGGTACGCGAATTTTACATCGTTCAGCCTGTTCAATGATGTCAGATCGAACCCTAAACTTCAGCAATTCTGTAAAAAGTTCTAGACGTTGGATGTTTTACATGTAAAATGTTTGGGTAGAAACGAGGGTCAAGAACAGGAATCGCTCAAATCAGGATTTGGGTCTCCCGTGCGAATCTGGTACCAATCAAGAGAGCCTGGATGTAAGAAAAGTCTCTCTGTCTGTATGTCCGCATATCTTTCTGTCTGTTTATATATTTGTTTGTTTGTTTGAACAGAAATTCGATATTAAATACTTAATGAAGCAGCAGTCGGGTCAAGTGTGGCATGGTTCTGGCATAGGGCAAAACCAAAAAAGCACATGTGAGCTCCGCCCACAGGGGGCGGGCCATCCACGAGACTTGGCGGTGTCATGGACAAAATTCCCTAGGTTTCATAACAGCCCAGACGCCGGAAAAAATGAGCGAAAGTGATGGATGGGTCAACAAACGAAATGAAGGAAATCAATCGGCGGCGGACGGAGCGTTCTCACAATGGGGCGGCACTAACTCACAAGTTCGTGAGTTCGTGACTATTCAAAGAGAGCTTGGAGGCCAGAAAAAAAAGAGGAGTGAGCAAAACCCCTTTGTGTGTGCTGGGCACACGTAAACATATCGAAGCTCCGCTCACGATGAGCGGGGCGTGCATTCCAATGTAAGGTTCTTCTTTAAAGAATTGAAGGTATGTTCGAAAACGTTTTTTGACGTGGAAAATAGGTGGTTACACGCCACAGAAAAAACGCGGTCAAGCTTCTGAAGTGGGCGGGGCTGAGATCGGAAACTCGTAATTGTGTTCAAGAAATGTTCTAGGATGCGGGAGAAAAGTGGTTGGAAGTAATAGAAGGAATCTAGTCAAAACTCTGAAGTGTGCGGGGGCTTTCAGTAGACAGGCCGCAGCTGAAATCGAAAATCCGTATCCCTGTTAAGAACCGTTTTAGAATGCGGGGGAAAGTGGTTATAGGTTATAGTGGGGATGTTGTCAGAATAAGGGGAAAACTGGTGAGGGTTAGTAGAAGAGAAGTGATCGAACCCTGAAAGTGATTATAGGTTATAGGGAGGTCGTGGTTAGACCTGACTCGGGCCGAGTTCGCAGAGGGTTGGGCATTCAAGAGGGATGGGTCTGGGCTAGCTGGACAGGGCTATGATCAACCACTAATAATTCTAACAAAGTTGGCGAGTCATGGGCAAAAATTCAGTGTCGGACGGGATTCGATCCCGTACTTAGGCTATCGGGACACCTTGCTCTTTTCGCTCACAGCAACGAAACCCCGCTTGACTTTGCCTTCTGATGACTGTGCTATGCATATTATATGCTGTACTTTATCTGCACTCGCCCGTGCCAAATGATGAGCCAGTCAGCCAATATCAGCATTGAACCTGCACTGTAGGCTTTATTTTATATATTATGTATCTTGTTTTGACTTGTTGTTTTTTTCAACTGCTGTTATTTCGGCACAGAACGAGATGCGAAAGTCTCACAAGGTTGGCGAGTTATTGTGCTCAAATGAATTATAACAAGCGGATGCTTCAAAGCGGTCCCGGCGCTCGAAGCTGAAGAACTATCTCATTCTGATACATCAGATATTCTGCTAAATATTTGATGTATCAGAATGAGATAGTTCTTTAGATTCGAGATGAGCGGTCGTGGACATGGATAGCCCAACTGGCAGAACATTGTATGGGCTACTAGTAGCGCAAAACAATCATGATCGCTCAACAAAAAGTGGGAAATTATACCTCGTTACACCACGCGTTTGCAAAAACTTTAAATCGATCATCAAAGGCGATTTAGGTCAGCTAAATGCAGAGTGATCGTACCGAACGCGTTTCCATTCCTTTTGCCGTAGTTGAGATAATTGCCGAGAGCCAGTACCAATGCCAACAATTGCTTGAATTTCTTACTGGAGGAAACTGCTGATGATGCTTTCGTGACACCTAAAAAGCGGAAATTTTCATGTGATTTATATCACTTTTGCAACGGCCAAATGAGGGGGTTTTGAGACCTCCCGAATGTTGAGTGAATGACTAGCGGCGATACACTACATAGGCTAACTGGAGATGTAATGAAATTAAGATTTTATTTGGGTTCCGCATATTCGTAAACCAAGGCAGCAGGGAGAAATCTATTTGATGGTTTCCACTTTTGAGAGCATGCTTTGCAATCTCAAGTCTAGAAATCTTGACTGAAATCGGTAGGATACCTTCTATACTGGTAAAAGTTGGACGAATATATTGCTATCGGGTTCATAACGGACCAAATGCTCTACTATAGTGCTATTGATACTGTCTCGTCAGAAAATTGCCGAACTTCGATGGGAAGTGCTGTCCCATTCTACTTATTCGCCATGTCTTGCTCCGTCCGGTTACCATTTGTTTTTGCTCTTAGACATCACCTTCGCGATAGAAAATTTGATGATTGCCCCGAACTCAAAACTAAGATTTCCAGCTTTTTCGGATCGCGGCCGCCTACTAAGATTCAGGAATCGGAAAACTGCTAGATCGTTGCCGGGGACCATGATGGAGTTTATATCACTGATTGAGAACTCTTTTTACGAAAATAAGACTTTTCAAATGGAGATGAAAAAACGATCAGCTCTTTTTACTCAACCAAATAGTAACCACTTGGCCTGCCCGTCTCATGGCTTCTAATAAATCAGTTTCTTCGGGGATAACCTGAAGCGTAGCAGTCCTTCTAAGAAATTGATCCCCTCTCCAGAATAATAGAAAGAACCCATACTAACCAATAATGTTATAAGCCGTTTATCGAGAGTGCACATTTCTAACAAAGTGCACTTGACGACCATCTATGTACATTCATTTATGCCTCCATATATCAACTGAGACAATTCTACAAATCGAGAAAGGGTAAATCATTTACTTTATTGTTTACCCCCTACCATTGCGCAGCACCTCTACTTCACCAAAGACAAAATGAGAATTTGTTTGCACTTCTGTCACTTATCGGCCCGTCGAAGCAAGCATTCGACAACATAATAATGGACGATCTCGGTGGCCATTATATTGTTTAAGGAAATTTCACGCATGATCCATAATAAGCATGTAAGCGCCGAGGTTCAACACAAATCTTTATTTTTAAAGACATAGGTGTTCTGCACTGATAAGGTAGATGGACGAAAACCTTGATAGCCAGCTGAACATAAAACTCTCTAGGTTTATGAGATTTGAAAAGATAGTCGCCCGATCAGCGCCGGGCTCTATTCCTTCTTATGTTAAGTTTGAAATGCCTCACTGAAGCCTATCATTAATCTCTTCCTTCTCTTCTCGAAGAAACGAGAGCTGGCAGCAGCCCACATCGAATAGTGAAGAACTAATATGGTCAAAATTGGTTGCTATCATCAAGCGCTGCGTTTACAACTACAACTATAATAAATACAGCATACCGGTGTATCGGCCCATTCTCACAGCGGGATATCCCTACCGGGACAGTGTACCCCTGCCCCCGTATAGAGACCACACATGAGAAGGAAGCCAATTGTAAATTATCACTACATAATCTAGAAGACCATTGATAGGATTGACGATTTCGGATTCCCCATTTTCCCCCTTGCACCACTCTCCGGATTCCACTCCTACCACCCGCCTCCATTAGAGTAAGCACCATTCAGGTGCCTTAGTTTTCCTTCTTTGCCACCTGCATGCCTGCTGAATTTAAACGCTTGAGGTTCAAATTACAGATTGTAGTGATCCAGATTAAAACTTTTCCTGTCCTTTTAGGCGGAGTCCACATCTGTCTCGTGCCTTGGTTTCCACATCTTGCTTTTCAAACTGAAACACTCTAGGCCCGGAAGAACAAGAGTTATAGATTGCGGGTGAACGGTACCTTTCGCGCACGCCACGTCCAGAGTGGTATTCCAAAAGGCGCCATAAAAAAGTGGTTACAGACAAACCGATAAACTGACAAACAGACGATTTGTTATTTATGAGGTACCAGCTGTGTGCACGCTAACGCGTGCAAACTACCAAGTGATCCGTGTTGGTAGTGAGATCGATACAGTAACAATAGACTTCCTGCTTCCTACATGTTCCTCACCCATATTAGAATGTGCCCACGTGACATTTCACAATCGTCATCGTGCCTACGCGACATTGCGCGACTGTCCGCAGAAACGTCCGACGTTTCCAGAAACGTCCAACGTTTCTGCCGACAGTCGCACATGCCGAAATACAAACAGACACGCGAATTAGCGCTTTATGTAGAGAGGTAGACAGTTAACCCATACGACAAATCGGTTTTTAGCGATTTAAGCTATCATGTGGTGGCACTTTACGATGTTTCCAACAACATTTCAAGTGCGATCCTATTGCAAACTTTTTGGAAATCTGCATAATCAGGGAATGGCGTGCAACGATCTGAATCCCTGGCTTTACTAATGATCAGCAGACGATTGCACACTGAAAAGTTCGAAAGCAGTGGCTGATTCGAAACCAGTTTCCGGGATCGGCAGAATCGACTATTATACGAATCAAGCCGTTTTATTTAGAGCTTTTTTACCACTGCTCTAGTACTACTGAAGCGGAGGTATCAAATACTTGCTTCCACTGAATAGGAGAAATTCTTGCCCATCCACTGGTCGTAGCCCTACTGAGTGTTCCATTTTTTGGAAATTGCCTTTACGAGTTGCTCAATCAGCAATGGGAATATGCCAAGCTTATGTGGGAAAAAGCTTTTCATTGCAGTCGCGCTCGAAGTCAGATATCGCATTCGAAAACAACAAAAAATTCCTATTTGAATCATGCCCATCCGTTCAACAGCATTATGAAGCCTATTTCCGGGAATACGGTGCACGTACCGTGAGAAGTTTCATCAAGAACAAGAAAAAGCAGATCCAGCTAAACGTACTTCGCGCATAGCCCAGTGCATGTCCATGGAACACCAGTTTTCTTTTGTTAAGAGCGGCTTGTGGCGAAGGACGGACGATAAGCTGGTGACTTTTTTCATGCCAGTTCTCGACTGGAGACAGGTGGTTTCAGGAATAGACTCTCTCGTTCTGCTATGTTAAAGGCACCGTTAGCAATGAATTTAGGGTACCCTTTTTTGACGGGAATCGATAGAACTACTCTAGAATAAAGCGATAACAACGGAAAAAGCGCAAAAAACGATGAACAAGAAGAATTACAAAGGGTCAAAAAAAGAGCTGGAAAGGGGGGTTGGCAAGTTTCACATTGAAAGAACGGCGATTAGGGAAAGTT